ATACATGGAAACAGTTGCGATCAATTCGAGTTCGTTCTATCATGTATATTCGTTCAACAACGTATTGTTGTTTATCTTTTGTGCAGCGTGTTTTGAACGTCGGCATGCGGAAAATGGATCATTTCCAATAAACGATTTTTATCAATTACGAAATAAATAAAATTTATTGATTAAATAAATGTTCACTGTTTTCAGTATGTTACTTTATTTGTAATATGTGGTTTAACTTTTAGTTATGATTTCGTTTAAGTGGAAATTTGGGATTTGGGGTTTTGGGGAACTTGGGGTTTGGAGATTTGGGGATTTAGAGATTTAAGGATTTAGAGGTTTAAGGATTTGAAAATTTAAGGGTTTGAAGATTTAGGGATTTAGAGATTTAAAGATTTGGAGATTTAGGGATTTGGAAATTTGAGGGTTTGGAGATTTGAGGGATTTGGAGATTTAGGGATTTGGAGATTTAAGGGTTTGGAGATTTAAGGATTTGGAAATTTGAGAGTTTGGAGATTTAGGGATTTGGAGATTTAGAAATTTAGGAATTTGGTGATTTGAAAATTTTGAGATTTAGGGATTTCCAAATCTAGGAATCTGAAGATTTAAAAAGCTGGAGATTGAGGGATTTAGTGATTTGATAATTTTGGAATTTGGGGATTTAGGGATCTAAGAATTTGGAGATTTAGGAATTTGGACATTTAGAAATTGCGGAATTTGGTGATTTGAGGATTTTGAAGTTTAGGAATTTTGAGATTTAAGCATTTGGAGATTTAGAGATTTGGAAAGTTAAAAAATATGAAGGTTCATGAAATTGAAGATTTTGGGCTTTGGAGATTTGACAATTTTGAAATTTAGGAATTTAAGGATCTAAGAAATTGGAGATTTAGGGATTTGAAGATTTAAGTGTTTTGACATCTAGAGAATTGGAGATATAAGAATTTAAAGATTTAGGGATTTGGAAGTTTAAGCATTTAGAGATCTAAGAGTTTGGAGATTTAGGAATTTGGAGATTCAAGGATTTAGAGATTTAAGGGTTTTAAGGCTTAGAGATTTTAATATTCAAGGATTTTAGAATTCAGTAACTTCACGATTTAGTAATTTATGAATTTAAAAACTTAAAAATGTGGCTATCGAACTTCAAAATTTACTAACTTAATCATTTAAAAATTTATAAATTTGATGATATAATAATTTGCAAATTTACAAATCCCAGCAACCCAAACCATTTAAAAACTTGAAACTCTATAATTTTCGAAATCTTCAAGTTAACCCATTTAACTCCCATACATCTCAATCAAGTAATCCCAAAGTCATAACGCGATTCCCGAAATGTCACATATTACATCCATAATTTCCATATAAAGTTCTCGTAATAACGTTGCATAATCAACGGCATCAAATCACCTAATAAGCCCATCAGATGTATATAATACATAGGTAGTCATAATATAAAGGTAGTCGGGCTAATTAGAGAAGCTGTCCAGTACACAAGTACCAGTCGCAATGCAAATTCCCAAAGCCAAAGATCAAATTATTGTCCAATCAACCGATAATTCACAGATAGAACACACATATATTGACAAACTGAATACTAATTTCCCTATCACCCGTAGAGAAGCGGTCCAACGATACCCTAAGGCAGACATGTCCAAGAGATGCCTGCAGCTTGATGCTGCCATAGTTTGCAAGATAAGCTTGATGCGACCATAAAAAACATGAACAGGAGAAATCGTCTACTGAATCCATTTCTGACATCCTTTTCCTCGTTTCTAACAACAATAATAATCTTTAGTTTAATCACTCCTACAATCTTGCATTAATTTCATATTTAACCAAGAAGATTATTCTAAATTTTATTTAACTAGGTGTAATTTTTATTTTAAAAAAGTCATAGTATGATAGAAATGTTTATGCTAAAATATTAACGCTATTTTATAGTTAAAATGTGTATTTAACAATTAAAATTAATCGATGTTGTTTACTCTATTAAGACAGCGTGCTACATAATAGTTTATGTAAAAATAGTTTAAAGTAGTGATTTTACAATATTTTAAGAAAAAGTGGTTTAAAATTGATCTAGACGTAATATAATATAATTAAAATTGATCTAAAACTAATATAATATAGTTTATTTTAATATTGTTTTGTTAGAAAAGTGCGTCAGTTTGAAGTTTCAATTTTCCCGCCAGAGTCCGCTAACCAACATGGCGGACATCCCTGCAGAGTCAGAGACTATCCCACACGAAGTAGCGATTACCATGGCTATTCTATTAAAACCTACTGATACTTTGTTATGTTAACATTAAAAGTAACTAGATAACGACAGGTAATTGAAGAAAGAGAAGTTTCGAACGTAATCCGAAATTCGTGCCCGCCTTAAACGGCCAATCGAACACGAAAGTGAGAACAGGCAATTTCACAGTGTACAGGGGGTCAAGTAGGGTAATGTGGCCACGATAAACGAGGAATTTAACGAGGGCTATTTGCGATAAGCTGAAGCTTTACGTTTATACACGCGGGCCACAATGTCGTGCCTCAGAAGTTATATTCTGTGGCAACACGCTTAAGGGCCATAGTTTGTCTATCGGCTAATGGAATTTCAGGAATTCTATTCGAAATTTGATCGCATATTTGTGCGCGGGACAGAGCCGTAGATGGTATTTAATTACTCGCAGAAACGGTGCGCTAACTTATTTACGCGCTCGCGCGCACGCCCGGGTCCCTGGAACTAGAGAGGCAAGAACAACACTTGTAATTTCATGCAAATATAATTTTGCACGCTTACAAATTCATCGACCACCGCGAGTGCCGTCCAGCTGTCCCGAATCGTTGAATTATGCAAACTGTGGACAAAATGGCGCAGCCCCGGATAACAAAAATTCTCACCGTCGAAAAGGACCGGAACCACGAAGTCCCACATGTAGAACTCTTCATCTAACATCTGCACGATCGTTTCAATCGATAAGGAAGAAATTTAACAAGCGGTTACTAGCTGATGCCATACGCTTATAACACGCGTCCTACCGTGCTCACCGACTGGTAAATGGGCTTCTTGCAAATTAGAGAGGTCGGCCAGTTATTAGGGAGAGAAGTACCGGTCGCAGGGAAGGTGTTTAATAGCCTACCAAGAGTACAATCGCTCTCGAAGGTTTCGGATCGTGGTCTGCACTTTACATATATTTGCATCCCTCTGCTACAAATCCGACACCAGTCCGAAAAGAATTATGCCCTCCACACGACGAGGTGTCTCTATCTAGACTTTTGTCCGCATGCCTTCATTACAACATTCTCGATGCACCTTTCCCGGTAAACGTTTCCTCACCCTTTACTTTATGTTCTTTTTCGACCCACGCTTGCACCTTCAAATCGAACAGAGTTAAATGAAGTCGATGATATACGTCAATTTATGATTGATGGCTCGGTGGCGCCACTAGCGACAAGATACTGAACTTCCTCATTTGCTAATGGCGGCTGCTACTGTAACGGAAATTATTAAGAATAATTAATAAAAAAATTGAAGTAATGTGAAGAAAAATTGAAAACGTACTACGCCTTTGAAATTGTATTAAAATTACTATAATTTGTCCATGTAATAATTAAGACCCATATATTCCTAAATAATTTAATACAGTAAACTAAATTTTTGTTAATGCAATAAAATTTCGAGATATTCACCCAGTAATTGTTATCCAAATTTAAGTGGCAGAAATTTAATTTTGACAGGGTTTGATCCCACGTGTCCTTCGAGTTTTACCTCGGACTACAGGTTAATATTCGCAAGGGAACCCTATCATATTTCTGAGGCTAACTTATTTACAGATGCGGATAGTCACGATATACGGTATAATCAATTTTCATAGCGATATTGATTGGAGCAATCTAATACGGAAGTGCCTAATAACTCCGGCGTGGAGGATAACTTTATTAGCAGTAGTTTGGGCGATGCAAAACCGCACATCTTTAATTTAGCCATCTCGTAAACTTGGTGCGTCAAGGATGCACATGGGGACACTGTCGGCGATATAATCAGGGATTAAATATCGGCGTTTCTTAATGGCAATCACGACTTTCTAGTGGTACTGCGGTAGATGCCGAGGTGACCGCAGTTGGCGAACTTTGACAAGTTGGCGGTAACAGGAACGTTGGTATTAAGTGCCAAGAAAGTTCCGTGGAAGGATCAGTTGATACACGGTCGCGGAAGAAGGATGCTCCGCAAAGGACGTGTTTCGCAGGACGAGCGTGAGTTACGTGCTTACTTATGTACACATAGAAAACGCTAAATCTGCCAGTGCTTAGCCAAGTTTCAGGGAAACGTTCGAGATCTTCGCTAGTTTCAAAAAGACACGCAATACAAATTCATCAGCAGTTCCAGATGTACGGTTTGTTTGCAAATATTTGCTATAACGACTTATATACCCGTCCTTCTTTGAAATTATATCAAAGCGAATGTGTACATCGTCGTCATGACGTTAAGAAGTTTCGGTACACTAACTAAAATAACACGAATTTTGTGGACTGCATGGCTAGCTACTTTGAAAATTATATCACATGATGTTCTCGGGTGACAAATTCGGGTTATTGGAAAAAGAAACTCAGGACTGGATTCATGAAGATTGATAATTATTGCTACAGTATGAGGCTAAACTAAATATTTGTACTATTATTTTAATTTGGCTTTGTTTAAATTGTATTAAATTACACTTGTCTCTGTGTACCTTCAAATTTCCCATTTGCTACATAGCCTTATATTAAATAAAAAATAATTTATATGAGAAATATGAATGAAACTTATGTGATAATATTCTTCGAACCTTGGTCAAATTGATTTAGCACAAGTATTTTACTTCTACAATTATATCATCAAAATATGCCACACTTCAGATGCATTATTTGAAAAGTAAGAAGTTAACATAAGAAGTTACCACATATTGAAGCATTCATCTTAATAATCATATTAAAAGCTTATCTTAATTATCATAAAGCGTTTGTGTAACTTATATAAACCTTACCGACTACTTCCAAGAAGCCAGTGATGCTGGACATTGGATCAGTATTGACTTGGCACATATACCATCCCCTGTCTGTTTCCTTGGTGTCCCTGATGTGAAGGGACCACGCACGATGACCGCTATGTGTCACAGCAATACGATGATTCTTCGTAATGACGTGATTCGCAATCGTGAGGATCGTTTGCGTATCCACACGTAGCCAGGCTACCTGCCAAACAGGAAGAGATTGTGTTTACATTGTCACTGTTACATAGCTGTGTTTAGAAACTTAATTAGACGTTCAAATTTATCTTAAAATATTCATTTGCACATAGACATGAGTTTTAGGACATTTGGACGTGTGATTTAGGACATTTGGGGACATAAGTATTACTTTGCGACTTGTGGAGTCTGGGTTATGGGGATGTAGGTATGTGAGATTTTAGGGATTTGTGGTTTAGGTATTTCAAGATATTGAAATTTGGATATGTGGAGATTTAGGGATATGTGTATTTAGGGGATACATTTGGGGACCTTGCAACTTGTGGACTCTGGGTTAAGGGGATGTAGGAGTATGAGATCTTAGGGGTTTGTAATTTAGGTATTTCAAGATATAGAAATTTGGATATGTGGAGATTTAGGGATATGTGTATTTAGGGGATACATTTGGGGACCTTGCAACTTGTGGACTCTGGGTTAAGGGGATGTAGGAGTATGAGATTTTAGGGATTTGTAGTTTAGGTATTTGAAGACGTAGAAATTTGGATATTTAGGGATTTAGGGACATATTTGGGGACATATTTGGGGACCTTGCAACTCATAGACTCTGGGTCAAGGGGATGTAGGAGTATGAGACTTTTGGGATTTGTGGTTTAGGTACTTGAAGACGTAGGAATTTAGATATTTAAGGATTTAGGGACATAAGAACTTGGATATCTAGAGATCTATGCACATAGAAATTTGGATATCTATATACCTAGATTTGGAAGGTAGGTCTTAGGGAACTTAGAGAAACCTAAGCCTCCTTAGAGCAAAGGAGACACAAATATTTGGAAATTTTTTAACTTGAAAACACTGTACTATGGAGGTGAATGTCCATATATTTAAAGAGACAAAAACGAATATGAATAATACAAACTTAAATTTAAAAAATTGTAATAAATGTCCATTTATTACCAAAGCTTAACTATGTCACCCATTTCCATAATATTAAATTCCATCTCCATTCCCAAGCGTAAGACCAGTTAAGAATGGGTATACGCGGTGTATTGTAGCCCAACAAACAATGTAAGCTACGTTGTTTCTCTGTTCGAAGACAATTGACTGACGCTCTCACTCGAAACGGGTGAAGAGAAAAAATACTTGAGGCAGAGAATTCTCAAAGCTATCTAAAGGGACCACAATGGATAACCGAATCAAAAGGAATAACAGTTCGCCTGACCCAGATGTCGTCGTCGTCGCGCTCGCGTCTCGTGACATGGCCTCTCACGGACTACAAATGTATCGCGTATGCATTACAAAATGTAGCTGACGTTTTCCCCTCTTGTTTTATTCAATCCTCGCCACTTTCGCTCGTGTTCCACGGATTACTTTGGACGCGAGGCTCGGAAAGCATCGCGTATTGTCTTCTCCTGTGCGGCCAAGACATTCCGTTAAAAGTATACTGTATCCGTCGCCAGTAAAAAAAAACGAAAGAGAAGAGATTTCCGCGGAACAAATCTACGCCCGTTTCTATATTTACGTACCGGTGTCCTACGAATCTCCCTGTTTTCTCGTGCTCCCTTCTTCTCGTTATTCCTTCTGGAACATTTCCTTCAACCCTTTTCTACCACGTAGCCGCACACTGTCTACCAGTGACTCATTGTCCGAGTGCTGTGACAATGTGCTCGACGTTACCAACTGTGCTCGTTACACAAAAAGGAAAAACTTCTGTATCAAAGTCATAATATACTCGACACCGTTTTAAACCGTCTATCTTTCTTCTCCGTCCCTCTGTTTCCCGCTTGATTTCTTTCCTCGGAATACACGCACTTGCTTCATCCACTTTGGACATGGCCGATGAACACCGCGTATATATGCGTCAGTTGTTGCTCGCGTGTGTGTATGCCTTGCCCGTTTTACACCGCTATGCATCACGACACTCTGTTGCTTTGTAGTTATAAGAAAGGAACGTTTCCGAAGGTTTTGCAAAGTTCTCTGGCGGAACAAGAGAAAGAGGCGCGAAACGAATGTATTCGCTGGAAAGACATTGGAGGCGCAGTAGAAAAAGAAAATGCGGGAGCGAGATGTTTTGTGTTATATTTTACGGAGGTTATTGTTAACGCTCCCGATAATGGAGGTCTATCACTTAGAAATAAGGAATTCCTTAAAATTCCCAGTTTTATTAAAAACATGTCATATATGTTCAGATGAATTTCTAAATATTTTCAGAAGTCTGTTTACTGTGTTACTAGGTTATGTTTTGATATATTAAAAGGTTGTTAAATATTTACTCATATTTTTATTTATAATATCTCGGAGAGTGGTGAATTATCACTACATATATTTTTTACTACCATTTTCTTTGTGCGATAAGTTTTATGGCGGCCATTGTCAACTCTGTCGATAATGTAGGTCTAACCTAGAAATAAAAATTTATTAGCCAGAATAATAGTGCATCTTTTTTACTAAAAATCTCACATACGTTCTCAGAAAAATTTACAAAATAAAATATTAAGATGAATTTTATTAATTTTCGTATTTTTAAATTTCATGTGTAATATTTTCACACATATTAAATTGTTATTTACTTTCAAAATAAATATGGTGATTATGTGAGTGTGTTGCAATCATAAAGACAATTTATTACCTCATATTTGATGCAATCATGGTAATTCTACCATGCAGAAATTTGAAATCGTCTAATTTAACTTCGTTTGTTAAAGTAAACTTTCATTTCCCAATCAGTCATTTCACGATTGTGGCGTATTTGTCCGCCATTGTAGTTTAGCAGTAACACGTTCTCAGTTAGAAACTCGCTTAAATAAACGCCAGAGTTCTCGTTGCTTCTGAATTACTTTTTCCTTTCTTCTTCCTCTATGCTCCGTGTTCTTATTATTCTCATTGCACCTACTATTTTTCTTTATGCCTTTTTCTACTTTGCACGATTTAAAAACAGCCATTCAGAAAAATTTCCACTTTGATAAACGCAAACACGGAGTTCGTAATTAGAAACTTGGTTATTTGCAAATTTTGTTATTTTCCTATTTCTAGGTTTGCAATTTGGTAATTTAGAAAGTTGGGAACTTAAAAGTTTTGAAGTGTGTAGAAATAGCAACATGGAAATTTAAAAATTTCGAAACTTGGGAAGACATGAAAATTTAAAAATTTCTAAAGATGGAATATTTGAGAATTTATATTCAAAAATTCATACTGAAAATCCTGAAATTTAATATATTCTCAAAGATCTCCACAAACAGTCTTTCTAAAGCAAAAACAAAATTAAGTTGCACAATCAACTCATTCGTATCTCATCAGCCATTTGACGTTCACAGATAATGGCTGCCAGTTAAACCAAAGATATAAAGCGAAAAAAATCGTCTGTTTTAATCCCTTAGAGTAAGATACTTCTATAGTTTAACCGAATGCGTCAGATATCTCGGCAACTGTGAAAAATGATCTGAGAAAGTTCTTGCTAGAAAGAATAGCCGGTACACAGTATAGTCTTGCAATGATCCCCCTTCGATTCCTCGTTCCATCTTTCCTCGCTCGCGTGCACTCTAATCGAATTTGCCGATAATTAAAGAGAACAGCAGTATTGGTTAAGAGGTTCCATCGATTTAGAGTGATCGAACAGCTGCCGATGTTCTGATCACAATTTTCTTGCCGTGACAGGCTATGATACCATAGGGAATATTCATGTTTAGAGGAAAAGTGTGTAGGACGCTTAAAGTTTGAATTACCTAACTGAGATTAAACCTGAACTTAACCTACGTAACTTATCTGAGTTAGCTGGGCTATGTAAAACTAATTTGTTTATACGAAATTGGATGTGTGGGAGTATTTACTAACTGGAGCATGGTCGAGTCAACCCAGATCTGTGCAACACACCGTACTTAGCATAAACTGAACTATGATAGTTCGCTTATTTAACCCGTATCTAACTTGGTTCGTAAATATACGATATGCAATTCGGAAATATCTACAAGTATGTCTAAATGTCTACAAGTATTAGCATTTTGCATGAACCTTGAAGAATGGTGAGTGATATAAGTTTGAACATTTGGTTGAGGTGTCTTCATGATAGTTTCTTTTACATACATTTAATGTATCTTACAAATTTTATTACTAGAATGCTTGTTGCAAAAATTAGAACATTTTCACATATGTGAGGTGACTCAAGATTAATGGTCCGGGAGTAGAGTCAGCAGAATCATGTATGAACACATATGTAGTTGCTTAATGGTCGTATGTGATCATACATAGAATTATATAATATTTAAATGTAAGCATGTATTAGTTGTATCATGTTCATATGTGAACATACATTTGGTTTATCATATTCATATGTGAACATACATTTAGTTTATCATATTCATATGTGAACATACACATGATTATGTCATGTATGATGTTCATATGTGATCACACATACAATTAGATAATGTTCAAATGTAGACATACATTTAGTTATATTATGTTCACATGTGAATATACATATTATATTTATACAATATTCATATGTGAATATGTACTTAATTGTATTATGCTCATATGTGAATATATATTTAGTTGTGTAATGTTCATATGTAGACATACATTTAATTGTATTATGTTCACACGTGAAAATACACTTAACTGTGTCATGTACATATGTGAACTTACATCCAGTTATATTATGTTTATATGTGAACATACATTTAGCTGTGTCATGTCCGTACATTTAGCTATGTTTAAGTTCATATGTGAACATACATATAGGTTTATCATATCCATATGTGAATACACATATAGTTGCATCATGCTCAAATATGAATATACATATGTGTACCATATTCATACGTGAACATACATGACATTGTAAAAGTTCCAAATATGAATATTATACACATAATTATACAATGATCAATAGGGAACATATGGTCACGTCTAAACCTCCCTATTATTAATTATTGTTTTATTAAATGTCTGTCTAAAACCATACTTGAAATTTGGACATCCGTTTATTAAATAAGGATCCACGTTCCTATT